GCCCCAACCCCCTACCCCTTCCACGCCCCAACTCCCTGCCCCAGCCCTGATCCCCCTCCCACCCTCCAAACCCATTGGTCCCAGCCCGGAGCACCCTCCTGCACCACCAATCCCTCATCCCCAGCCCCACCCCAGAGCCTGCACCCCCAGCCAGAGCCTGCACCCCTTCCTGCACCCTAACCCCAGCCCAGAGCCCCATCCAGCACCCTGAACACCTCATTTCTGTCCGCACCCCCAGCCGGAGCCCTCACCCCCTCCCACACCCCACACCCCCAATTTTGTGAGTGTTCATGGCCCGCCATACAATTTCCATACCGAGATGTGGCCCTCGGGCCAAAAAGTTTGCCCACCCCTGGCCTAGGGGATGGTTTGCTTACTTACCGCATGCTGGCTGTGCAGTTTTTCCAAGAGGGTGCTGTCTGTGCCCTTGGGAAATCGACTCTCCTCGTTGACCAGTGCCAGCAAACCTAGTTTCTACAGCCAAATGAGAGACAGCCTTTACCAACCAGTAAAACTACAAACTGCACAGGATTCAGGCTAGAGAAATAAAGGTTTGAGACTGTCATGCTGAATGGCACCCTTCAAATTACACCCTAGAAAGCTTGAGTGTAAAGTGCGCCTGGTGGCCAATCTACAGACTCAACAAGTAGAACATTGGCTCGTCGCCAAGTATGTAGAAATGAAATTTCTTTATAAAATCTGTATTTTGGAGGTTAAAGCCCTACCTAAGTCCATCCCAAACAATGAGCAGAGGACTTGCATTCTTACAGAGGGGCTTTCTAGGGGATGAAGAGGCTCATGCTCTTGGGAGAACAAGATGTGAAAAAGGTCTTGCTGATCTACCCATGCTTTAACACATGGAAACACCAGCAGAATCCCAGAGACCATGTGATAGCCAACCACAGAACAGAATGTGGGAGCCAGCCCTGCAATTTATCCCTTTGCATTGGTAAAGTACAATAAAAACAAATGCCTAAGTGTGGGGAAGGAAAAATTGTTAAGTGTCATGCCAGGTCATGCCTGCCAGGATTCCTGGGACCAGATGAATTCTATAAAGAACTGCCCACCTTCTCAATGAGATCTAAGCACTCTGCATTGTCCATCCAATCAATGGCTTCCCAGCTTATTCCCTCCCTGCCAAACAAGAAGAAAAAAAACAAACAGTGATATAAGAAGTAATCTCCCAGTCCCTGGGGTGGGGTGAAGGAATATAGAGGCAGCACACAGCAACATTCCCAGGACCCAAGAGGGATTCAAGGGATGGACCACACCACTACCATCCCAGGCTCCCTGGGGAAGAAAGTAGGAAGTGGAAGACATGACTTCCAGGGGGGAGTAGGAGGTGGAGGAACAACTGGAAGCAAAATATCTGGACATTTCCAAGATAGACATGCCTACCACAAAGGAACAAAAAATTGATATTTTCTTCACTGGGATGTGGAAAAAAAATAATTCAATGAATCCATGTTTTTTAAGATCCTTGCTTTATCCAATAATGCCCTTGGCAGAGGCCTCACAAGTTTGGAAGGATTTAACTGAGACTCTGGGATTTCTTCTGAGAGTAGCTTCTATTCCAGAACTGAAAGAAATGTAGAATTTGCTGTACCAGATCAGAACACTGATCAGTCAAGTGTAATATCCTGCCTCTGGTGCCATAATACGCTTGGCCAACTGAGCAATGTAATACACAGAAGCTATTTCCTGACTACTGAGGAGATTAGCTGATATCCTGAAGTAAATGATCCTGTCTTTAGCATATCAAAAAACAATATTAGTCTTAACATTATTGAGTCCTTTCTAAAATCTAGCCACAGAGTTTGGACACTTCCAATCTGATCTTTAGGAAAAATCTCCCTTTATAGGAAGGATAGTGTTTTTAACATGTGCTTCCTGCAATGATGGAATCAGCTGCGGGAGTGGGTGTATAAATAGCCTTGTATTTTGGCAGTCTTTATAACTTAAAGAATTATCTGTTCAGTGGCTCTCCTTTACAGAGCTGCTCACATTCAGTCTCAATGACCCTATTCAATTGCCTCATTCAGAAAAATAAATGCTTCTGTCTTGGAGCTAGAGGGGAATATTTCTCTGGCTGTCCTCTCTCAAGAGGCTCAGATATTATGGTGATGGGCATCAATACAATATCTTAATGGTAGATAGCTATCTAGAGTTCTCAACTCTCAACTGTAAACTCCGTGATAACATGGCTAGGGCTTTCTGTTGGACCCTTCAAACTCAAAGACAAAACCACAACCGCTTCCACTGAAGAAGAGTCACTAGAAAAAAGAAAGCCCTCAGAGACCTATTCAACTTACAGATTCAGGAACTTTCCCTTTTCAGACCAAAGCCCCATTTGAAAATAAGGCATACATTTTGAAGAGTGAGAGTAATTAATCATTAGAACAACCCAGTGATGGGTTATGGTGTTGGACTCTCTGTCACTGACAATTTTTAAATAAAGACTGGATGTTATTCTAGGATATGCACTTGTTCAAACAGAAATTGTTTCAGGGAAGTTCTATGGCCTGTGTTACACAGGAGGGCAAGCCAGATGTTCACAGTGTTCCCTTATAACCTTGCTGACTACGATAGAGCCAAAGTATCTGGTTACAACACCATTACTGATTGGAGGAAGAGAAGAGGATTTGGAGTTTTCAGATTTTTGTTTCTTTTTTGCTATCACAATGGATTTAGAAACAAAAGGCCACATGTCTTGGAACCCCTTCATCACATGACAGAAAGGAGCTGGGTCTGGCTCTGTGAATGACTAGCTGAGAGAGTTCAGATGAAACAGAAGTAAGTTAGAGACAGGCAGGGTGCTGCAAAACTTTCATTATAACATTTGAAACCAAGTAAAACTTTACAATCTTAAACTTGGGCCTGTTTGCTCCAGTTCACCTCCTTCCAACAAGACTGGGCCAAGTTTCAAGTGCCAGGGAAGGGTTTATTGTTTAGGGTGGAAACCGGCAAAACTTGATATTTGAACCAATTCAATGTTGACATTGTGGCCTCAGAAAGAGCTTATGTGAGATACTGAGTTCAGCCGGGGGTTACTGTAAGCAATTTGAGGCAGAGACCGTCTTCGTACAGTGCCCGCACAATGGGATCCTGCTCCTAGGCACTACAGTAATAAAAATAATACTAAAACACTTGAGAGGTGAGACACTTCTTGCTTGAAGACAGAAGTTCCATTCTAACAAAACAGTGCACTGGACATTCCCCACCAAAGCATATTCACTGGCTTACACACTGCAATCAGCCAGTCTGAGCAGGGAGAGCCTCCCAAATGCTGGGCTTCACTAGGGAAGAATTATGTTCTCAGTTTTGCATCCTGAAATTTGAAAAGAGGCACTGCTCCTTCCCATTCATTACCTGTTGTACTCTAGCTGCTCCAGGGAGAAGATGTGTTTGTTGAAGTATTCTTGGAGTTTCTCATTGGCATAGTTAATGTTAAACTGTTCAAAACTATTAATCTACAAGAGAGGAGAAACAAAGATGATAAAAATTAAAATTCAGGTCGCAGGTCTATAAAAAAAATCTTCCTGTGAGGACAACATGGAAGGGAAACTGCATACAGAAGACCAGCATTTAATGAACGGTGTCCATACGAACTCGAAGGCCAGAATTGACTGGCCTTTGGATAAAGCAGAGGAAAGTAGAAGAGTCTGGTATCACCTCACTCTCTCTTTCCTTTCCTATTGGTTATTCATTCTGTCACAGGGTAGCTAATTAATAGGCATTCCTCACTTGTTACCACAAGAACACAGCAAGAATGTGAGTATGTTAGAAACCAGACATCTACTGTGCACACATATCTCAAGGTACAACTAATGTCTATCACAACCTACCCACAAAGGGGAACTAACCATCTATCACAGCCCACAGGAGGACATGCACTGCAAAAGGGCAGCCAAGCGGTCTCTCGCCCTCTCTCACAGGGGATCTGTGTTGGAAAGACGTTTCCCAATATGTGTTGTATTGACCCACACCAGGTATCAGCCTAGCAAATTTCCTTCATACATCCAGCAAATCTTCAGAAAAAACCTGGCCTCCAGAAAGATAGAGTACTGACCTGAAAGTTCTCGAAGCCAAAGATATCCAGGATGCCCACAGACTTAAAGTTTTCCTTCCCTTTGATCTTCATATTAATCTTGCCAATGAGCCATGAGAAGCACTGGGAATACAGTGCCATTGAGAGAGAGTCCCTAGAGTCAACCGCCTGCGAGCATATGAGGAGAAAAAAGCTGTCATGATAGGTGAGCAGAAGGAGCACATGGATGTTACCACTATCACTACTTTACGACACTAACGACTTACATCCCCATCCTACAGTTATCACACTGCCAGCTGGACAGAGCCATATGTATGGCTGGCTGCCCCATGGAATATATGTTGTATAATGTTTAGTAAGCATTCCAGCTTTTGGACAATGCTACCATTGGCCTAGCCACAGCACAGTCAAAAGTCTGAAGCAAGTGGAAGACTGAGATGCAGGTGCTGAAGCATGTAAGATGGCAAGAGACCTTGCAGTCACTTTGGGGAGACTCGACCTTTGAGTCAAGAATTTAGAGCTACAGAGGAGACACAGAGATACAAAAAACACTGACATCTTAAGAACATAAAAACATAAGAATGGCCATACTGGGTCAGATCAATGTTCCATTTAGCCCAGTATCCTGTCTTCCAACAGGGGCTGGTGCCAGATGCTTCAGAGAGAATCAACAGAACAGGGCAATTACCAAGTGATCCATCCCCCTGTCGTCCAGTCCCAGCTTCTGGCAGTCAGAGGCTGGGGACACCTGGAGCACGGGGTTGCATTCCTGACCATCTTGGCTAATAGCCATTGATGGACTTAGCCTCCATGGACGTACCTAATTCTTTTTTGAACCCAGTTATACTTTTGGCCTTCACAGCATCCCCTGACAACAGGTTCTACAGGTTGATTGTGCCTTATGTGAAGAAGTATTTCCTTATATTTGTTTTAAACCTGCTGCCTATTAATTTAATTTGGTGGCCCCTAGCTCTTGTGTTATGAGGAGAAGTAAATAACACTTCCTTATTTACTTTCTCCACAGCAGTGGAGATTTTATAGGCTTCTATCATATCCCCCTTAGTCGTCTCTAAGAAGAACAATCCCAGTCTTTTAAATCTCTCCTCATACGGAAGCTGTTCCATATCCCAAATCATTTTTGTTGCCCTTTCCTGTACTTTTTCCAATTTTAATATAACTTTTTTGAGATAGGGCGATCAGAACTGCACACAGTATTCAAGGTGTGGGCATACCAGGGATTTATATAGAGGCATTATGATATTTATTGTTTGATTATCTATCCCTTTCGTAATGGTTCTTAACTTTGTTAGCTTTTTTGACTGCTGCTGCACATTGAGCGGATGTTTTCAGAGAACTATCCACAATGACTCCAAGTTCATTTTCTTGAGTGGTAACAGATAATTTAGACCCCTGTAGTGGGGTGGTCACCCGCTCCTGCCCTGAGGGGTATAAAGACAGCCCTGGGAGAGGACTGTTGCAGGGGGAAGCAGCTACTAGGCTGATTGGGGAAGCAGTCACAGCTGGGCCATGCCCCAATCAGGCCTCAGCTGGCCCTATATAAAAGCCAGGGAAGCCAGGAGCAGACACAGACAGGCCTGGCTGCAGGGAGCTAGAGAATGTACCTGGAGTGGAACAGGGCTGGGAGAAGGCCAAGGGAGCTGGGGCGCTCCGGCCTGGAAACCCCTGAGGCTGCGGCCTAGTAGAAGGCAAAACAGGTACTGGGATTACCGGGGACAGCCCAAGGCTAGGCAGAGGTAGCAGGTCCAGACCCAACCTTGCCTATGATGAGTGACTTATACTGCTGTCTGCCCCAGGAAGCGGGGGCTAGTTGGTGAGTGGCAGTAGTCTACGACTGAGGCGAGGTGGGATGGGGGGTGAGGGTTCCCCAGGGAGGGGAGACCCCGAGAGTGAGGGGTTACTGCCAGGGGGCAGCACCCCAGGTAACAGGGCACCAGAGTCCAGGGAGGGACGCGGGGGCCTAGCGGCAGTGGGACACTGGCCTGCAGAGGGTGCTCCAAGGCTGGAAATGAGCTAATTCCCAAGAGACCAGCAGGAGGCGCCGCAGGGGTGAGTCCCACATGCTTACAAGTGCTGGAGAATATGGGCATAGCAGTCCGCCCCTGATACAAGGGTACACATGCACACCTGAGTATGGAAATTCTTCCATGCAATGTCTGTTGGCCCACATGTGCGCGGTAGATCTTCTTGCGCTCCTAACAAAGCATGTAAGAGAGTGTGTGGGTCAACGCCTCTCCAGTTCCTCTTTTTAGTCTAATCCCACAAGTTCTGAAGCAGAGGGGATGGAGTGTGTGTAATGGAATACATACAGGGACCACACACCTCAGAGAACTTCCAATTACAGTAAGTAACTGCCATTTCTTCTTTGAGTGATGGTCCCTATGTTTATATTCCACATATAGGTGATTGGCAAGCAATGCTCAGCTGCAGGTGGGTGTGAGGAAGCTGGCAGCAAAAATGTCTGCAGTACTCAGGTCCAGTTGCTGCATCCACAGGCATGAACTAAAATATAGTGTGTTGTGAACATGTGGACAGAACTCTAGGTGGCCAGCCTGCAAAGTCTGCAGCGGGACACCGTATAGGGATGCTATCGAGACAGCCTGTGCTCACACGGAGTGAGCTGTGCCACTCCTCGAGGAAGGGATTTTCACTACCTTGTAGCACTCCAGGATGCATCCCAAGACCTACTCAGAAATCCTCTGGGAGGATATGGCTTGACCATGTGATCTCTCTGCCGTGGTGATAAGAAAACTTGGTGATTTTCTAATGGGTTTGGTCCTTTGCAGGTAGAAAGCTAGGGCATGCTGGACATCAAGGGAGTGAAGTCTCTTGTCTTCAGCGGACGCATGGGGTTTTGATAAAAATACAGGTAAGTTTATCATTTGATTGACGTGGAAATCAGAAACTAACTTGGGGTGCAGTCATAGAGAAACCTTTTCTTTGTGGAAAAACTGTATAAGGAGGATCCACTATGATGGCTCTGAGCTCACTGAACCTCCTGGCCAAAGTGATAGTCACTAAGAGCACCACCTTCATGGGCAGGTGGGTCATGGAACACATCACCATGGGTTCGAAAGGCGGATCCGTGAGCATTGACAGGACGAGAGCAAGTTATCATTGAGGTGTAGGTTTGGTCATTGGTGGGAAGGTCCTGATTAGATCTTTCATAAACTACTGTCACTGGATGAGTAAAGACAGAATGCCCTTCTACTGGAGGTAGGGAGGCACTAACCATTGCTAGGTGCACTTGCAAAGAACTAAGAGACCTAGAACGACAAGCATACTTGCAGTGGCTGAAGAATGTTTGTGCCCAGGCCAAAAATGTGGCCAGGAAGCAGGAGCATTCTATACCCAACGCCCACCAAAATACCAGGCCATGAGGTGAAGAGAACCTGGGTTGGGATGCCTGATTCCCCCCCACCCCCATCCTGAGTTAGGAGGCCTGTGAATGGGTGGATCCTGATCAGAGGGGACGGGGAGGGGAACGGGGGCTGGTGCGGAGGAAAGAGTGCAGACATTATTAGAAGTTCTGTGAACCAGAACTGTCTGGGCCAGTAGGATGCTAAGAGAATGATGTTGACTCTGTCATGATGTACCTTCCCTACGACCTGTGGAAGCAGGGGTATGGGAGGAAAGGCAATATATGCGGTCGTTCATCCAGGTCAGGAGTACAGTGTCACCCTGGGAGCTGCGACCCATGGCTCCACTGGAGCAATATAGGGGAAGCTTTCTGTTTGTTTAGGGCACAAAAAGGTCTCACTGCAGTGTATCCCACTGTGTAAATATCTCACTTAAGACTCTCTCATGGGCCTCCCACTCGTGGTCTGCCAAGAAGCTTCTGCTTAGTTTGTCTGCAAGGGAGTTGTGAATACCAGAAGGTACACAGCCTGTATTGCGATGCAGCCTGATGCACCAGTTCCAAAGTCTAATGGCTTCCAGGCAGGAAGGATGAGATCTCGGTCCTCCTTGTTTTTTTACATAGACCACTGTGGTGATATTGTCTGATGTTATTTGTATATGGAATGGGAGTATGGAGTGAAAGGAAGGCCTTGCATGCAAGGTGAACTGCCCACATTTCTAGTATGTTTATGTGTCATCTGGACTTTCATGGGATCCAGGTAAGCATCCCTCCCCAGGCGGGAGGCATCTGTCACAATGGTGGTTCTGGGGATGGAAGGGCTGAAGGGAACACCCACCATGATTTCTTCCAGGTTTGACCACCAAGCGAAGGAGGTGATAACTCTGGTGGGATTGCCCACCTTGGAGTTGATGTGGTCCTTGTCTGGTCAATAGATCAAGAGAAGCCAAGCTTACAGGCATCACAAATGAAACCTGGCAAACGGTGTCATAGTAATGCACCTGGTCATGTGGCCTAGCAGTGAAAGGGTCCTGTGCACTGTGGTTCATGGTCGGTGGGTAATGCGTGAAACCAGGTTGCGGACTGTAAGAAACCTGTTCGCAGGGAAGAACAGTGTCACAGAAATAGAGTCCAACGTTGCCCCTATAAAGTTTACTGTCCTTGTGGGTGATAAAACAGACTTTTCTCTGTTTATGCAAATG